ATTTCAAAAACCTAAAACTGCCATAACACAAGTATCATATAGTTGATTCTCATTATCCATAAAGTTGCCACAAACACTGAATTAGCCAATACTGAACCACTTCTCCTAAGGGAAATGCAGAGTTAAGCTCCTGCAAGCCTCTGGTCACATTTTCATCATCTGATCAATACATAACCTTGTTTTATGTACGTGTCTGTTTAAATACACCTTATTTAATATACATTATTGATTCATTAACATTGAACTTACAGCCAACAGCACTGCAACTAGTACTAAAATGAAACTTGTCTAACACATATTTTCTATTTTCTCTGTAAGATACATCACAACCTCTGTAAGATACATCACAACCATCACAACCTAGACAGCACTTCAGCACGACACTTGGAGTTCACTTTAAACAACAAAATCTCACCCCCCAAAACACAAAAATGTGCAAGACATGGCACTAAATAGACCATGAAAAGAACACTGTTTACAGTATGCGAGCTGAAAGAAGGCAGGTCATGACCCTGTTCAACCTCAGTTAAGAACATGTGCCTTGGGCAACTCAAATTTTTCACCACTCTGCACGTCTGTGAATGACCATGAAAGCTCCAGGAGTATTGATTTTGGTGTTACAAATAAATTTTAGCAGGTAGGTGAATTCATAAATACAAAACCTGCAGATAATGAAAATCAACCATATTTACATTCTTATCACTCCACCTGTTTCTTGACTAGAAAGTTATATGGCCACATTAGTTATCTCAGTGCTGATCATAACTATTAATAATGCAATTTTTTTAGTAAAAACCTTTGAAAATATAGATTAGAGGGGAAATAATAAATGAGAAGTTTTATAGGGAAAGAGTTGGGAACTGTTATCCGGAAAATACACATACCTAAAAAACACATAGAAGATAATCATATCTTAATTCTATTTTTCTGCCTAAGAAATTTTAATGTGCTAATATAATTGACCTAACCTAGGATCATGTGTTTAGAACACATGATACTGCAAAAACAAGGTAAAGCATTCTCACAAGCATAAAGCACAGTATACAACTGCAGGCTTCTGGACTTCAACTTACTGTTGTATCAGTGTGGAATACTTTTCTGGTTAATTCCCTCACTTCTTTCAGTCCTCTGCTCAGATATCACTGTATCAGGCTTCCCTGACCACCTACATATGATATTCCCTGATGGCCACTCCTTGCCTCCACACAACCACAGTCTCCATCCCCTTTACCCTACTTCCAGTTTTTTCGACAGCACTTATCACCATCTGACATATGTTTAAATCATATGAAACTTCCAGTTTAGTAGGTCAAAAATGATCAAATAACAGCCTTTTAATAAGGTTCAATGGAATATTTGCTTGCTACCTCCCACAACTTACCTATAATCTCCACTAGAAGGACTTTGTTTTCTTCTCTTTTATAATCCAGAGCCTAGTCAGAGCTTGATGTCCAATACTATTTGTTAAATGAATAATTACTATACAATCATTATTAGATACATCCTTAATATAAAGTGCAAATATAGCTTAACCCATTTCAACAACCACTTAATATACTAGTGTATTCCCTTCCATTCCTATTATATGTGCATTTTTTAAGTCAAAATTCACATTCTTTTTTTTTTTTGCGGCACGCGGGCCTCTCACTGTTGTGGCCTCTCCTGTTGCGGAGCACAGGCTCCGGACACGCAGGACCAGCGGCCATGGCCCACGGGCCCAGCCGCTCCACGGCACACGGGATCCTCCCAGACCGGGGCACGAACCCGTGTCCCCTGCATCGGCAGGCAGACTCCCAACCACTGCACCACCAGGGAAGCCCTCACATTCACATTCTTAATTTTACATCCTGCCTCACACACACTTAACATGTCACACGGTTAAGTCTTAAAATTGTTAATGGATATAGAAAAACCTTGTAAGCAGTCCCTAATTCAACCATATCCATTCTGTTAGGACATTTAGACTACTTCTGATACTTTATTATTGATTATAAATAACCCTTTGATGCATGTCCTTGTACATTCTGTACATTTCTGCATCCCTGACTACTTGTTTAAAAGACTTATTGGGTCCTACGATATGAACTTTTTTAGGGTTGTGATGAACACCGTCAAGTTGCTTTTCAGATAAAGCTTTTATATTTTATACTTGTTAATATAAAGCTGAATATGTTAAAACTTCTAAATTTAAGGTGACTACAAAACAATGCATTAAAATATCCTTGGGGTTTCCCTGGTGGCGCAGTTCTGTAGAAGTTCTGTAAAGGCGTTCTGATATTCTGCTCAAGGCTACAGAATGGTTATATATACTGATTCTAAGGTATTTCAATTTACCTGATTCTAAGGTATTTCAATTTACCTAAAGAATATTTTCTTATCTGAAAAACCACAGAGTAACTTGACATTGAGGCAGCAATGTTTATCAGAGAAACACATAGGTGCCGAATGCCAAATGGCTGATTATCAGAACTTCAGACTAAACGTATCTCTCAGGAACCACTGCCAAATGCCAGTTCACTCCATTGTTTTAAGGTCACAGCCCAACTGCCCACTGTAAGAAACCCCAGTGTAAAAGATTATTTATCAAGAATCACAGGACATCGTGGGGGGGGGGGAAGATGTCAAGTGTCATCAAGCTTCCCTACTAAAAGATAGAGTTTTATGCTGTTCTCCTTTATCACGTCTAATTTCTGGTTTTAATATCAAATGCTTATCACTAAAGTCTTTTTATCTTTTTTTTTTTCCTGTCCTATTTCCCTATTACCTGTTGGTTTCAAGTGAGAGAAATCCAAACTCAAACAAACAAAGAAAATTACTGACTTAGTAACTGAATGACCTAGGGGTAGATTTAGCTGAGGTACAGGAATTCGATGTCATTAAAATCCAGTTTTTATTCCACTTTTAGCTCCATTTTTGGATATTTAACATTCAAACATATTTATTAAGTATCTACTTTGTTTCAGATGTTGTGGAAGCAGTGGAAATAAGACAGGTAAGGAAGGTCCCTACTTTTATTGAGTTTACACTCCAGTAACAGTAAAGCCTTGAGATTCACTCTGATTGGACTAACTTCAGTCATGTGCTCATCTCTCATGAACCAATCACTTGGCCAGTGGTGAGCTGATCCGGCTTTAGCCTGGATAATATATTCCACCCCTAGGACTAGGGATGGGCCTGCGCTGGATAACATTAACGTCCTTTATCTTTTTATACCTCTCTTTCTACAATAATACCCCTTTTCCCAATCAGTATGTTCATCAAAATCTTATAGAAAACACCTAAATTGGATATTCCAAATTAAACCCTGCTTTATAACTAAACCACTTATGATTTTATTTTTCACTAAAAAAAGTTTTATCTTTATCCAGAAGAAATAAATTAATTTTTGTTCATTTCTCCAGAAATGTCAGCATAAACTTCACCATACAGAGCTATGAAAATTTCTATAAATCGATGGAAAAGTTAGCGCAGACTCATATTTTAAACTAATCATACAAATATAAAAGATAATCTTTTCCCTAGAAGTGAAAGGATAAAACTTTTATGATTATATGATTTCATAACAAAAGTAGTAAAAACATTTAGGTTTAAAATCTTTTGAAAATTAACATTATGTGATATCATTTACATAAAGTTCAAATCAGAGAAACTAATCTATACTATCAGAAGTCAAGATAAAGGTTACCCTTGGCATGGGGAAGTAGAAAGTGACTGAAAGGAGGTACTGCTGGGACTTCCCTGGTGGTCCAGTGGGTAAGACTCCATGCTCCCAGTGCAGGGGCCTGGGTTCAATCCCTGGTCAGGGAACTAGATCCCACATGCTGCAACTAAGATCTGGTGCAGCCATGTGTGTGTATATATATATATATATATATATATATATTTTTTTTTTTTTTTTTGGAAGGGAGGGAGGGAGGAAGAAAAGAAAGAAAGGAGGTACTGCTAATGCTCTCTTTCTTGATCTAGTTGCTGGTTCAGTTTCTGGAAATTCACTGACCTTTATACTTAATAATGATGTGTTTTTCGTATTTATGTTATACCTCAACAAAAAGGTTTTGAAAAAGTTTATTACATTTGCAATTAACACTCCTACAAACAAGAAGCTAGAAGAATAAACTTACAGTAGAGATGTATCAATAGGGACCAATAATAATGAAGAGGCACATTTCATTTTCTAGCAGGTAAAGGTATGTCTCCTAAGTAACAGGCCACAATTACTTCTATCCCATTATTTTAGAGCCCAACTATCGTTCTTCTTCCCTTCCCTTTATACTATCATTGTGACCACATCCAAGGTTCCAATCATTCTGGGCTAATCTCCATTTCTTCCAATTTATATCTAGCAATAGCTGTTCCAACAGGAACCACACATTTATGAACATACAACATAAACAAAACATATATTTTTCATTTATAAAAACTTTTCTGGGAAAATTCAGGAACTCAAATTCCATATGTACTCTAAGTGCATTTGCCACCCTAATTTGTCATCAATAAATTGAGCATTAACTGTTTTAACTTTAAAAAAAAAATCGCTAGATCCCCTCATAAAAATCACCCAGAAAAGCATGCAGTTAACATTATGTGATATCATTTACATAAAGTTCAAATCAGTATGGCACACATACAAAAAGTAAACTTCCAATGCAATGATTGAAAACACCCTCAGACGTTATTCAGCCCTGAAGACACACCCTAACAGCTTTTTTGACACTCAGAGGAAAATGAATATGAACTTTATATTTAGATATTTGGTAACAAACTACAATTCTCTGAGGAGGGATTTTCTCTTGTATAAAAGAGGAAAGCATACCAATCTTAATATTGATAATTATCATATAAATAAAATGAGATCATTGTAGAATGTTGTCAGTTTCCTTTATCCAATTCAGGGGAGTTTCTAAACTCACAAGATATCCCCTTCTCCATTTTTGAGCAGTTCAAAGTGGAAACAGGGTACTTTTAAACATGATGCAAAAAAAAAAAAACCTTTTAATTACCTTTATTGGAGAAGAGAGTTACAAATATATCAGGGTGGGAAACTGGAATACACACTGCAGTGACTGGAATTGAAGGTATCAGTACATATAGCCTGAATCTAAACAAAAGGAAACATCAGAAACACAAATTGAGGTACATTCAACAAAATAATGGGCCTAAACTCTTCAAAAATGTCAAGGTCAAGAAACTCGAGGAACTGTTCCAGATTAAAGGAGACTAGAAAGATAGGATAATTAAATACAACACATGATCCTTGATCTTAAAGCGATGAAAGTAATTATTAGGATAACTGACAAAATTTAATTATGGACTATAAATTAGATATTATATTAATGTTAAAGTTCCTGATTTTGATCACTGTAACTGTGATTTTTTAAAAGAATATCTCAGTTAAGGAAAAAAGTCTGGCAGTATACCTGGATCTAGTTCCACTCTATGAAACTTCATTACAGTCCTTCACTACCTGAAAATAGCTGCTGCCTCCCATTCTCCACCCATTCCAACCAAGTCATCCCTTCTCCACAGTAAGCACTCCAAACTCCTTCAAAGGTTCTCAGACACTTCATCATCATCTGGTTACCCTCCTCTTGACACATTCAATTTTTCATTTACTGTTCTTAAAATGCAGCTTCTAGAAGCAAGGCCAACATTGTAAACACGTTCTAACCAACATGGAATACATATTACAGTATATCCCTTATTATGGACATAATCCCATTAATACAACCTGGTACCTCATTTGTTTTGTTCTTTTTTAAACAACTCACACTGTTGGATCTCTGAGATTATGCAAAACCAAACTCCTAAAATTCTCTATCAAATCCAGCTAGTTCTTCCCCCAGCTGCAAAGGTTTCTCTTCTCAGTAGCCACACCCTGAAGCTTTTAATCAAGTCATCGCTTCTCTCCTTCCTTTGAAACTCCCATCTTTGACCTGCATTTCCTTCTAGATTTCCTCCTACCTGACATAAATTTTCTAAGGCTTTCCCCCTCCATTTTCTCATGCAATGTGACTTCTCTCTGCTCCCGACAAAATGTACATGTCCCGCCCTTTCTAACCCTCTCTCCATAGCTGAAGTCAAACTCTTTCAGATAAATTTAATCTATAAACAGTTTTATATTTCTAGCCCCAACCAATACCCAAAACTTCAGACTGGCATATTCTGAGCTCTCAATCTAGATATCCCAAAAGTAGTTGTATTCAACAAGTACAAATCCCTAGTCATTTTCTTTCTACCTCCAAAAAACTATCTCCTCCCTATGTCAACAATCTAAAGGACATATATCTAATCACCCAAACTAAAAAACTTTGAGACATCTTAACTCTTTCCTTTTCCCATCAGTATACAATCAATAAACCCTACTTCTTCTACTTCTGAAATGTCCTGAAAAAAACCTTCTACTCTTTCTGTCCTATTGTTACTGCTCCAGGTCAGGCCATCATCACCCCATTTAAACAACTGTAATAGCCTAATTAATCTCCCATTCCAATGTATTATTTATCTATTCACAAATATATGTCTTAATAAACAGAGCCCTGGCTGATTTTTCGTCCCCTAATTAGATTAAAAAAAAAGAGAACAAACAAAACAAAACACCACAATGACTTTCTCCCATCTTCAACTCCTAGAAAACTTTTCTTCCTCAAAACCCAATTCAATGATCCATCAGAATTAAATGCTCTCTTTTGTTCCCATAACACTTAAATCTTCTATCACAGAATTTACAATGTACAGTTTGATGTGTGTATATTCCTTACTTGATTACAGGGTCCTTGAGGGAACAGTGCAATTCATGTTTTATTCTCTAGTACAGTTCCTTAAAATTGGTGAACTGAATAGAATTCTACTCAGAGAACTTTTTCAATCGAATTCCATACTTTTTCAGAATTTCTTCATTTTTAAGTAACTCAAACTATAGGTTCCTGCCTGTGATTTCAGACAAAATTTTGAAAGCTGTTTTTAGTCATCTATCCTTGCCAGTTGAGTTGTTCAGAAAATAAGCACAACTGTATATTTATGCGAAGTATTAATAAAAATATTAAAATAGACAAGGACAAAAAAAGCCTTTTTAGATATATCTCTTAAGTTTGACATAAATCCCTCTGTACCAGTATTTAAGAAAGGTTATTTTACACCTATTAATGTAACGTTCTTAATGCTGATGAACTAGCCTATTTCTCTACCTTACCTCCAAGGACTGGAAAATGATTTCAAAAACTACTGGGTTTTTTTTGTTTTTTTTTAAATAAGACTGTCTGTTTCTAATCTTCTGGCATACTCTGACTCACCACAAATTAACAAAAGCTATCAACATCTCTCTCAGTTCCTTTGTGTCATTTAAATGATCTAAAACCTGTGGCATTAGCCAAATAGGTAGAAAATGAATTCTTGGAATCCAATCAAGTGGTGAAACAACCTGGGTGGGGTTTACAGAACTTTATTAGGCAATGGAATTAAAAGGCAGTTACAAAAAGCCTTAAACTTGAATGGAGAAGAAACCAAAAGACATTGTCTTGGAGTTCCACTGTTATCATATCACGATTTTTGTTAAAGGTTCAATGTGTCCGTGTGCGGAATGAGAAAAACCACCTGGACAAAGGCAGCTTCCGAAGCCAATCAATGTCAGGTTGATAATCAGCCAGTCAAGAGATGGTAACTGGTCTGTGTTCATAAACTGTGTCACAGAAATTTCAACTTGCTTGAGACAACAAAACTATTCCCTTAAGTAACAGACTCTCTGCCAAGGTGAATTAGAATTAAATACTACTAAAATTTAAGTATTATATATCAAACCCACAATATTAATATTTCCATGTTAAGTTTACAACTATGTATTTTTTCTTTAAGTTTTTATAGTGTTTAAGAGAACTTTAACATTATAGAATCTGACAGTCTTATAATTCTAAATTTAAAATAGTAACTGACTTCAGCCTTAGGACATTAAGTTTAAAGGTATAAAGTATTTGGTTTGGTTAATAAGCAATATTGGAATGCTTAAGAGAAATTATGACTGACTATAGTTATAAGTTCCACTTATTAATTTTAAAGGAGTTTTACATATTCGGGAAAGTCCTGCTTGTTGAAATTTTACATTTACTCTGTAAGGTATATAAAGTGCTAAAAAAATAAAATAAAAACCAGTATAATTAATGTGTAAATATAAGGAATGTAATTAAGTTAAGCAGCAGCAGTAGTGCTACTAACAAAAGAGCATTTTCCTAGTGCTCAACATTGTTCCAAGTACTTTACAATATAAAGTCATTCATTCAACAAATAATCACTGAGCATACACCATGAACTAGGCATTGTTCCAAGCTCTGAGAATTAAATCAGTGAACATAAATCAGTGAATTATGAAAACATAATTTCAACCTTCGTGGATCTCATATTTTAATGAGAAGAGGCAAACAATAAATATCAAATATGATAATTACTGTGAAGAAAAATAAACCAGGGAAACTGAAAGGAGGAAGTGCTCTTTTAGATGGTATAAAGAGGGTCACACCAGTAAGCATCATTCGCAGGGAAGTCTATGTAAATGATGCCCCTTGGAAACTCCTTCATCAGGGAAAACCTCTCTAGACCAAGTGACATTTGAACCTAAGAAATGAGGGAGCAAGGCGTGCAAATATATAAGTGTATTACAGAAAAAGAAAACAAGTACAAAAGCCATTTTACCTGGAAAGGGTGTTTTAAGGGAGATTTAATCTCTTCAGCAAGAATTACTAAGATACAGTAATCAAAGTGTCATCCCCCCACCCAGGAAAACAAAAATATTCTTAGTTTATATGAAACTTGCTCAATTTATTAATAGATTAATAAAATATATAAGTTGAACTTAAAAGACAAGTTTTTTAATTTAACGACTCAATATTATTTTACCAAAACTTGTAAATGGTCTTTACACCCAAAAGCAGCCACAGACATCAAGAAACAATGATGCTTCATTGCTCTAAGTAATTCATTAGAACTAGAGATCTAAATTTATTTAATGAAACTAGATGCTCTTTACCACATAACAATCATGGAATAGTCTCCGCTTTAAACAAGGTTGTGTCCCTTCCAGTATGAAAGTCATCTTCCTAGACATAAGAGAAGTAAAACAGGATCTGAGTAGTTGTCATTATTTAATATCTCCCCAATGAATGTGTCTCTTTCTTCCTTACCTATCTTGCTGAGTTTAGCTAAAGCCCTCCCTTGTTGGCTTAAGCATTTTTTGCAAACTTTAACTCATTCAGAGCTCTAGCCTCCCCATATTCCTACTGACACATTTTAGTATTAACCATCAGTTATAAACCATTAGTAATGCAGGTATTCTTGATACGTTTTCTTTTGAAGTTTATTAGAAATTACCTATGTGAAAGTCACAATATTTTCTCTGAATGACTCATGCATTTTTCTCCCCTCAGTGGAAATTTTTTGTAATTTTAATACATGCTCCATTTTTTAAAATAACATGTTTATTTTTAAGTGCCTTCTATCAATATTGTCTACATCATCTGTGGTCATTAGCAATCTTTTTTCTGACCTTTCTGAAACTTGCTTTTCCGTGAATTCCTACCTAATAATTTAAAATCCAAAGTGACACAGTCTCAACTTTTGATTCCCATGATTTCCATTTCTATCTAGGAGACAAAGAACAGTATTTTGGAAAAGCATGGACTTTGAAATCAGACAGATATCTGTCACTTACTAGCCGTGTAACAAACTTCTCTGAGTCTCCATTTTGACATCAATAAAGAACAGATTTAATGAGCACCTATTTTATATCAAGTGCCTTATACACTATATGTGAGTAGAAAGTATGTATCATTTATATTGAGGAAAACAAGAGCTTATATATAAGCAATTTTCTTAAAGTCACAGAGTTGCTAAGTACTAGAGCCAGGATTTAAATCCAGGTCTGATTCCAAGCCCATGTTCTTTTTCCTACAACACAAAGAAGAGACTATAAAATGGGTCCACCTGCCCAAAACAAATGTTCAATAAGAGTTAATTCCACACGTCCCTCACTGTTCTTCCTTGTTGGTCGGAATCAATTTCATACCAGCAGTTCTCTTCCACATTCAGGAGACTAAACTGCCAGCGAATAATGTATCAAAAGCTCTGATAATCTTTATTGTTAATGTATTGTTTAATTAATCCACTTAATTAAAAGTAAAGGGCTTTCCTGGTGGCGGAGTGGTTGAGAATCCGCCTGCCCATGCAGGGAAAACGGGTTCGTGCCCCGGTCCGGGAAGATCCCACGTGCCGCGGAGCAGCTGGGCCCGTGAGCCATGGCCGCTGAGCCTGCG